TGCTGCGTGGCCCGGGCAGGTCACCCCCCACTCCAAGCACTACGTTCTCATATCTAAAATGTGGGTGGTCGCTGCTCCCCTCAGCAGTGTGTTTCAGCCGATCTGCCTGTTCTACTCCACACTCTTTCTGGTGAATCCTTTTACCCCACCACCTCGGGCCTGTACCCCAGTTCTTGTATGCAAGATAAATAAATCTTTAAAAAAGTAAAAAATAAACAAAATAAAATGCGGGTGGTAATAGAGTCCAGCTCCCAGCATTAATATCAGGATGAGAGCATGAGAAGGGGGAGAGGATGGGAAAGGCCTGCAGGAAGAGAGCTGGGGGGCCCACAGAAGAGGAAATGGACAGACAGGCAAGCCCGGAAGGTACAGTGCGGAGAAGCAGAGATTTCGGAAGGAGCGTGCTGTCTTCACCAGCAGTCTTGGTGCCTCCAAGACTGGTAGCGGTCTGTATGACAGAGCCCCTGAGCTGGGGCTTGAGGGCAGAGTGGAAGCCAGGGCCACGAAGGTCCCCGAGCCCTGTGGGAGGGGGGGGCTCCAGGGAAGAAGGGCAAGAAAGCCGGAGCCTGGAAGAGGCCATGACCTCAGTAAGGAGGGTGGTGGAGAAACAGCCCAGCAAGTCCAGAGGAGCCAGGGAACCAGGCGGGGCCTGCTGGTCTGGGCCCAGCGGACCTGGCTCTCGGGTCCACGGGGCAGCCGATCCCCAGGCCCCCACCCCCACATGCCCAGGCAGATGGAGGTTGTCAGTGGCACAGTGGTGTTGGCAAGTCAAACGCTGGTGACAGTGCAGGGGCACAGCCCCTTTCCTGGACAGAGCCCAGGGTCCGAATAGGCACAGCTGGCCATGGCCCTCTGCAGGCGGAGACTCAGGGCACCGCAGTGGGGGGACAGCCCTGCATCCCTGCCCTGTGGAATGCCAGTAAGATTCTGCACCCTCTCATGCGGCCTCTGGTTGGGGTGCCTTTGGGGAGCATCCCAGATACAGCTGGCTGGAGTCTGCTCAGTCCTCTCTGGTGGTGGGGACTTCTTACTCTCTGGGAGCCTCTTTTGCCCATCTATAAAGCGAGGTGACAGGTGTCCTGAACCTCACCTGACCCGGTTCCGAACACCTGTGCAGAGAGAGGCTCAGACGCAGTAGTGCTGGCTGCTCAGTATAGAACAAACAAGCCCTGCGCTTTGGCAGGAAGACAGTGGCACTAAATTTGAAATGGGCAGTGTTGGGGGTGGGCAGCATCCTGTCACCGGAGGGGCATGTCGGGAAAAAATCTAGAACTTTTACGTCATTCACAGGACTGTTTATAATAATGGAAAACTGGAATAATCCAACGTCCCTGAGATGGGGGCAGCTCAAAACTCCACCTGTGCCATGTTCCACGTGGCGGCTGTTTTCTGAGTCCATCCTGCCTCAGGCACGGAGCTAAGAGACCCCCTCATCATCTCTTCTGAGCCCTGAAACAACAGTGAGGATCAGCCAGTCCCAGTCCAGGCAGGCAAGAGAAACCACAAAATAATTTGAACAGGGAAAGTCTGCTCCAGAGATCTATGAACTGTAACAGGACTGGGGTGGCAAGGGGCTGGCTAGTAGGAAAGACACTCTGAGAATATAGGATTCGCAGGAGTAAGGGGTGCTCCCACCCACCGGCTGAGCCCTGAGACGGAGCCCCTACCCTGCCCAGTCCTGAGGTGCTCAAGGGTTAAAGCTGGAACAGCTCTTTTAGAGAAGTTGCACAGGCCCCATGGAACTCGCTGTAAAACTCGGTGCTAGGGAAAGCTGTACTTGGGGAAGTGTCTCCCAAAAGGCACCCTTCTACTCGCAGGTGAGAGTGGCTACTGCCGGAGAAGCAGCCCGGCACCCCTATCCTGCACACCTTGCCACCCAAAGCTACACAGCAAATCTGCCGGTCAAAAAATGGCTGTCAGCGCCCTCTACTGGCGGCCTCGAGCACTGCGCCACCTGGTGGAGGAAGCCCCTTCAAAGGGCAGACTCATTGCCACAGAGGGGGCCACCCTGGGGGATCTGAGCTGGGAGCTACGCGTGAACAAGGCACAGAACCACTGTAACAAGTGAGGAATCGGAGGGGAAGAAACACAACCCACGCGAGGGCTTGCTGGGCCTTACAGAGCACTCAGACAGCAGCCTGCAGAATTATCCATTTACATCACCCTGGTAACCATCTCACTACCCGTAAACTTGCACAGACTCGCTCTCCAGCCTGGAGGAATCCAATGCCAGGGGTTCCATCCAGGACCCGGGGATTACAGGAAATCCTCCTGGTTTTGTTATTAGGTTGAAAATCTGAGATTGTTATTTGTAGTTCAAAAATAGTGAAATAGCAACAACTTCATACAGTCGAACAAATTTATTTCTATGGTGCAATATTTGAAGTTTTCACAATGAGTGTGAATTACTTTTACAAGCAGGAGGTTGTAAATACATCCGATACTCACACACATATACGTATGCACTGAGCTTGTGTCCACAGACATGTAACATAAGTCTGCACTCTGAGTGTGTTTTGGGAAGTCCTCCCTCCAGCTGTCTGTCGCCTGTAGCGCACCCCACCCCCCCAATAAAATAGAAACTTTCAGCTTAGCTAACAAAAAGTGATCCAAAGGCCTTGGAAAAAGCATTTGTTGTTTGGTCCACGGAGAGATGGCCTGTCATGGTACATGCGTGGTTGGTGATACTTGATACAGGACAAAACCCGTTTTGTCATTTGTGTTCTTTCGACTTGTTTTGTGAGATTTACTTATTTATGTAATTTTAGTTATTTATGCCTACAGAACAGGGGAGCAGGCCAGTGGTGCAGGGGCAGTGAGAGGACTCACCAGAGACAGAGTAGGCGCAGAACAGGTGGACTGACTGAAATACACTGCTGAGGGGAGCAGCAGGGAAGCAGGAGAGGGCTGCTGCGCCCTGGGGGTCACTCTATGGCCGGCCAGGATCCAATTCAGGTCAACCTACTGAGCAATAGCGCTGAGACTTAACCCCTCGGCCGCCAGGGAGGCCCAGTGTGTGTGGTTTGAAGACTGACTAGCGGTGGGCTCTCACCCACACAGTTTACAGATGTTGTAGAGTGGAGACAGTAACCAACGCACACAGCCTGTTTAGGGGATACTCACCGTCCACTATGTTTTCCAGGGCCAGCCGCTCTGGATGTGATGTCCGGGCCTCTCCTTGGCCTTCGGCCCAGACAGTTGTGTTGGATCTGGTGTCCATGCGGCCGTTTCACGCTGGAGCGGTGCTCGAGGGGGCTCGCCTCCTGGTGCCCCCTCCTGGGCGCTGAGGGCTGATGGTGTGGTCTCCCACCACTGGCTGCCCTGCAGAAGACCCCTCCTCTCAGCAGCCTGCTTGGCGGGAGGCTTCTTCCAGGCCAGAGGGGAGAGGAACAGCGTGAGGTATGGTGGGAGAGGGGAGACCCAATTTAATTTTTAAAAGTACTTGAATTGTGCTTCGTCCTAAATCTAAATCTTGAGAATTAAAGAAAACATCTCAATGTAGGCAGAAATATGTGCAAATAACTAAGCTAAAAGTTGTCTTGGGCCTCCCTAGTGGCCAAGGGGTTAAAGAAGAGCACGATGAAGCTTTCCACAGCCATTGCTATGGGAGGTCCATGCCAGCCAGGGGGGTGACCCCCAGGGCACAGCAGACCTCTCCTGTCTCCCCGCTGCTCCCCTAAGCAGTAGAGCTCAGTAGATCTGCCTGTTCTGCTCCCCACTTTGTCTTTGGTGAATCTCTCACTCCTGTACCCCAGTTCTTGTATACCAAAAAAAAAAAAAAAAATTCACTCAGAATAGCTAAAACAATTGTCAAAAAGAACAAAGTTGGAGGACTCACTCTTCCTCATTTCACAATTTACTCCAAAGCAAAGGCTATGGGGCCCATAGCCAGGCTTGAGGCTGGACCTGAAGAATCATGGGAGGGAGCGAAGCTTCTGAAGTACCCACTGCCAGAAACAACGTTTGTTACATGGCAGCAACCTGAGCTACTGCCTACCTAGACAGGGCTTCTTTGGAAACCACACCTGGTTCAAGGAGGAGCGCCCAAGCCTACTCGAAATGCATCCTTGGCGATGGTTCCCCTGCCCAGTGGAGCGCCCCATTTCCCCACAGCTCTATTTGTCTGTGACAATTGTTTGCTGGGAAAATATGTCTCCCTACAGATGGGGGAGACCCCTACAACCTTCCTTGGTTGGAGTTGGGAAATGGAGCGAGGAGGGAAGCAGGGGTCGATCACGGAAGGTAGCGCCTGATAGGCTGTAGAGCTTGCTTATCTGGAGGAAAACAGAAAACCTAGGTGGGGGGACCTACGGAGGGACACTTCCTCTGGTTAAATTTACCCCTAGAT